CACGCCCGGGAAGCTCCGTGGGCGTACCTGTCCTTTCTGTGCCCCGGAGCCGTGGCAGAGGCGGTGTAGAGAGTCAGCGTCCCTGGCTGCAGGCGGCTAGTTTTTCTAAATTCTAAAATACCGAGAAAAAAAGAAAAGTCGGGAAAGCAAAGCACAGCCGGCCTAGCCCGGTGGCTGCGGGTGTCACCGCGCTGTGCGTTTTCCTTACATGGTTGTCACATCTGCCTTGTTTCTGTCGGCTGCTGGTATCAGAACACAAAGGAGTTTTATATTTTGCACTTTCTCCTGGGCTATTTTTTTAACCCCAGGTGGGAAGGGCAGAGCACAGCTCCCATTCTCCATCCAGTGATTTCGTTTTGTTTGTCCAATATCGCCAGGAATCTTTTTGAAGGGGTAAAAATCTCGTGTCTCTCTGAAGATTCCAGGTGAAGCCCACAATTCACATAAATTTCCCTTTCTCAGAAAATGGAAAGCGTTGTGCTGGGGTTTTTCCAACACCATGCAACAACGACCCCAAAGGGTTAACCCCATTTCCTTCTTCCTTTAGAAATGGTGGGTACACCATCCCAGCAGGTCGTTACAACATGAAAATTACGGCAGATCGCTGCTTTCGTCTGGCATTGGTAGGAGGTAGATTAACCCAGACAGGAGACAGAGAGGTACGGTTCAAGCTGTCAGTGTATGAAAAGAGACATTTCAGAGAGCGTTGTGTTTAGGTCCATGATCTTATCCACCCGGATTAATTTCGAGGCTCCTGGTTTCCCTACCTGTTTGTTTTGGCGAGCTGATACAAGCAGAGTGCGAGTCCCCACCTGCGGCTGGGTCGGGGCTGCCTCAGCAGGCAGGGAGAGGCACTGCTAAACGCAACAGAGCTGCTGGGGAGCATCTTCTCTGGCAAGAAGTTAAAAAAACGGCACCACATCTAAGAAATCCTTTTAACTGCCTTCCCTGCCTTCTGTCCGTGCTGTCTGGTGTGCAGTTTAGCTCTTCAGCGAAAAGATGCGTTGTACAATGTGTACCTACTACCAGCTCCCATTTGATGAGCATCCTGCCATCAGCTTGCTGGACAGAGGAGTACAGCCACCCTAAGCTCTACCCCCACAGTCTGCAAATCCCACAGGTGCTCTGCTTTGTCCAAGGTCCGCTTGAACATGTTACAGCTCAGCTTCACCAGTTCACAACCAAGCATCTTATCCCTCATTCTGCCAGGGCTGAGGACTTGGTGAGGCTGAGCCTGCTTGATAAAGCACTACGCCTCCAAAATGAAATACTCTTCTTCAGACCGTCCACCACGTGAAGAAGAAAAAACACTTTAGGAAGAGCAGCCAAAAACTTCTAGCAGTTCCAGTTTCAATACAGTATCAGACATTTTGAAACGTTCATAAGTGGTTTCTCAGATTTACCCTCCCATCTATGCCAGTTCTTCTTTTCACTTTCACTCACTCACTCACACCAAGCAGCTTTTCTTGTTCTCATTGCATGCCTCTTTGCATTCTTGTGCATTAGTTAGCTTTAGTCGGTGTGAGCAGAACTTACCACATAGTCTATAACCGTGTGGATTTGCTGTTTCTTCTGAAGCTGGCGAGTTGTGCTCGCTTTGGAAGTGTGCTGGGTTCTGCCCGTACACGTGCTCAGACCAGCCGGGTGTCAGGCAGCCTTGCGTCTCCTGCCTGTTCTGCCTGTCTTGTCAAGCGGGGAGTGTTTGTGTGCAGACTGCACAGGCCAGCCCAGTCAAATTTACACCTCCTTGTTCTACCTTGAAATTTTCTATCGGCAGACCAAATATTGCTCTCTGCTGTGATCCCCCCTGCTGTTGTGAGATGCGCGCTGGTGCTCCTTGTTCAGCATTGACTGGGTCCAGTGTCACACACCAATGGGCAAAGGGTGAAGGCACAGGAAAGGTTTAATCGCTTTGTCTCAGAGTCTGAGGCACTGCTCGGGCACCAAGAATGTTAGTACTGACAGCAGAGTTTTCTCCTGCCCAAGTTTGTCTTACTAGGGTTAGGTACTATGTAACCACTTGCCGCTGCTAGCAACGAAAATATTGGGTTGAAATTTGCATCGTAAGTGCCCGGATATTTGTTTGTACTATTCAATATTAATCTTTTTCTGTTCACAAATCTTGCTTTTGCAGTCTTGCTGCTGTTATGTGTGTCTGTCATTTTATGAAAGTTGTGCTTTCTTTTGTCATGATCTATTTCCATCTATTTTTTGTAGGAAAAATAAGCACCGACATTATTAACAATACACAGATTTTCATAACATTTTAAATAGTCAGAAGCTTTCTAACATGGAGTTATTCAAAAGTGAAATTTTGGAGAAAAAAATGAGAAGTATCCTAGGATTTGCACATTCAGAAAGAGTATTTAAAATTAACTTTTTATGTGCTTTTGCATGTTGTTTGATGTAGTAATTGAAGTGGAGAGGACTAAAAAACAACATTAGTTTTGTGACTCAGAAGTCCTGGGTCAAACTGCAAGTACTACACTCATTAGAAATTGCACAAGAATGGAATTTCAGACTACCTTCACATTTCAAAGAATTCTGTTCTAATTTCCTGAAGGTCATATTTTGCCGATAAACTGTGGCTTTCTCAGAAGTTTGGCAAAGGCCTAGGGCTGTTTTGGCTTTGAAGTAACTAAGGGAAATAATTTTGCCTCACACCCTTTGCTCAGGGGGAGACTGGATATAGCAATTGGCTGCTGTTGCAGACCAGGAGCACAGTCATGGAGTAAAGATGTAGATTTCTACCTGCATGACTCCACGGTTTGAGGTATGGTCAGCTTTAAATGCCCGCTTTTTTCCCAAGTCCTGATAGGTCACACAGGAGTGTTAGAAGGTGTTCCTGCTCCTCATCTCGTCCTTAAAACAACAGAGATTCAAACTTGTATTGAGTTTAAAGCTTTGGTATGACTCGGAGAATTTGAGGGCTTATGAAAAACGTTCCATTTGATTTTCCTAATTTACTTCCAAATTCTTTTGCTATATTGATTAAGGAAACTTTTTCCCTTAAAGTATTGTTGTCATACACTGCATAAATGCAGGGTGTGAGTGTGTATACACATATGAAAAACCAGAATGCAATGCAGTGTGTTCTGATTTTTGTCCCAGACAGGGATAAGTATTGCAACGAAACAAGGTGGTGGTTCCAGGTGATATACACAAGGACCCCAGAAGGGCTCCCAGAAGCTGAGCTCCAGCATCTTTCCCGGTAGGAATAACTTTCAGTACAGATTTTTAAGTCTAAGGTTGAAGTCCTTCTGCAAGGCTGACGTCTTGCATTGAATTACAGTTCCAGGAACTAACAATGGAAAGAACAAAAATGGAATGTAAGGAAAGAATATTTTCAGATGTCACGAGTGTTTCCTTCTACAAAGCCAATTTCTTCTTCACCATGTATGCCAAATATCCTCCTGAACTCTGTGGCCCTGCGTCAACAATGGGATTACAGATGTTTGGATTTTCCCCCAGTTTCACATTATGAAGTCTGCTGTACACAGAGTATGTTTGTCAAAAGCACGCTCTTGTCCAAACAGCCACAGAGGTCAACCCTTGTTCTCACCTCTTCTGTTGCTGAAATATGAATCAATAGTTGTTTCAGATTTACCCCAAATACAGTAAGTCAGTTCACAGATCTGAGCTAAATTCTTATTCCCAATAGACTTCTAAAAAAAAAAATCATTGATACTGTATGAGCAGAAGGAGAATTAGACCAGCTTTAAAAGCCAAGTTATCAAAACCAGGTTATAGAATTACGTTACCACTTGCTAATTCTCTCCATTCTCTCATCATCCCTCAAACCATCCTGCTTGGTATCCCAGCTTCAACAGGAGAGGCTTCAGCAAAGCCAGAACATGCTGAAGAGAGACTGAAAGCTACCTTTCCTCCTTACAGGCAAAGTTTGAGTCACGAGACCACCAGATGAGAGGCATGCAGAATCCCAACCAGTCCCCTGACATAAAAGTAATAAGTTCTCTATTACCTTCAAGAGAGGAGTCTGGTTTTGATGCTGCAAGTCCAGAGCAACTAAAGGGCCTCAGTGTGCAGCATTCAAGCAGGTATCTAAGGCACGGAGAGGTGGGATCACAGCTACGCCATGTGCTCCCCTTGGCAACTGGCTGGCTTTTACCTACGTCCTGCCCTGCTTGCATGGGCGCACTCTCGCTCGCTACGGCAGTGTCTGTGGTCCCTGTACAGGCAGTGAGGGATCCTCCAGTGCCACCTACCACCCTCAGCTGTGCAGGTAAGGACACCGCATGCCCAGCAGCTGAGGAGCTCTGACTCTCCGGATTCATTCTTCAGCAATGCTGCTGCCTAAGTAGGGCGTGCAGGGGAAGCAACGTGAATGTTGGCTTCAGTCAAAGAATCTAGGAAAACATTTTTGACACCAGGCTTGTGAGAAGCGAAGTGTTGATTATTAAGTATGTTATAGCTCCCTGCGTTGTTCTTATGTTCTTGCCCTGAAATATTCAATGAGCAGCATAAAAGTTTAATCAAGAAATTCTGATTATATGTTCATCCCATGCCACAGTGTATTATATCTCAAGGAGTCAGAGAGAGGGAGTTGAAGCACTCCTTCAGCAAACCCCTGTCTTCCAAGAGACAGAAGTTCTCATTTACGTTTGTATGACATGGCATTTCATTGCATGGTCATGGGAGGAGACAAGATTCAGAAAAACATTCTCAGACTCATCATTTTACCCTCCTTGGCTATCTAGACAGAGAAATACTGTCATTATTCATATCAATGATTTATCAGCCTGTCCATGTTTACTGCTTATTTGGTCTACCATAGGAATAAATCTCTACAGATACGTGGCTCAGTAAGTTTCACCAAAATCATCCCACTGATCCTTAAGTTAGAAGTTCCTTATATTTAGATATAGTGATCTCAAATTAGATGGGGGAAATCTCGAGCTCTTTGCAAAGAGTTCAAATTTTCAATGAATCAGCGTATCTTAGTTGGAAATATAAAAATGGAAAGGCCATTCTTTATTAAGAAAGATTCAGAGGTATTGGCCAGGAGTTATTACTCAGTTTAATTAAACCAAGACTACTTTATATCATTGATAACGTTGATTATTGCCACAAAACCTGTTTCACTCTCTTTTA